ACCCTTGTGCATCGGGCAGTCGCTCACAAAGGAACGTCGCGGGCGCGTTTTAAAATAAAATTCCGTTGTCGATATGACGTGGATAAAAAAAAAGAAACACAAAAACAAAATAGAAAAGAACTCCAAAAGTTTGTATCCACCATTTAGTCCTTACTTCCAGGTGGCCTGACCTGGCTTGGCCTCCAAGTGACTCTTTTTGTCCGCCTTGGTCACTCACACAAATCAGTATCACCAGATACCACAGTCGTTACAACCCCTACATACCCTGCCAAGTAACAACGCCGAGATAAAATGATGCACGGACCCCGATTAAAAAGTTCTGCAGGTGGGCGGGCTGTGTGTTGCCCAGCCCGGCAACACTTTACCCACCTTATATGACGCTTCGATTGTAGTTGTCCGCTAGGTGACGCGAAATACCTCCCATTGCAAATAGTAAACGTATTGTGTTACTACATGTTTACTACCCACCTATCCACCCGATCGTGCCAGTCGCACCCTTGCAGTCGCACCAACGCCGGCAACCCGTCTTCACCGGTAGCACCAATCCTAGGCCTACATTGTCGCCTTGTTCTTTTGTACCAGTCGCACTGGTGGCGGACTCGTATATTCATCAGGCCTAGTTGAACGTCATGAACACGCTGAACAAGGAGTAAGTTCATTTTCTATTATTCCGTTTTTACTACACCTTGTTGCAAAGTGATTGAAACGCAGTGGGCGTAGGGTTAGTAATGCATGCGCTACTGGATCCGGACATTTCATAAAACGCCGTTTCATTTAAGATCTGACTGAATGTTGTAGTTCATGGTCATGCACTGAAAAATCGTACCGAAGGGTCCATATCATATGAGCGAATTACGTTTTAGTGAATAACTTTTAGCGAATTTACGTTGCGGATGAACCGCCGACGGCGGCGTGCAGCGCGAGTGATGAGATACGATTTGCTGTTTTGCTAGCCTTTTGCTGCGGTTTTCCAGCGTGTTGTAGACACGTTTTCTACTCGTTCGTCGTCATTCGCCGTCATTCGCTGAAGAAACTTTTTAAGATTCAGTGCACCATTGACACTTGCCATTGTGAACACGTTAAAAAGTTTACGAAAGCGCAGTACTGCAGGGTAAAGGCACAACTCGTCGAAAGCAAGTTTCGCCGGTCTGGCGGCGTGTTCAATGCTTCCTTGGCTCGCCGAAGTGCCGTGTCTCTGTGCCTTCGCACGCTTGGATACCGACCAAGAATCGACGCCGTGTGTATGTGTCTAGCGAGTGCAATGTGCATGAGGCTGTATGTGCCTCTGGATCAGAATCTCACTTTACTCTGACGACCGTATACTTGCGGCACTCGCGGTCCAGAAGCGACGGACGAGGGGGGAAAGGTACGTCTTCTATTTTTTTTTTTCCCTTGGACGATTTACAGAATACTGTGCAAAACAGCTCCCCATCGCTGATCAGTGTTGGCTCATTATCAACCTACTTAATTGCGCTTGACGTTTGAGCGCGGCTCGCCTAATTGTGATTGGTCAACAGATTGCACATGACCATATGGGCTGCACTTCAAAGATTTTTATTCTAGCCGTCTTGTACTTTTGCCTTCGAAAACCCTCCTTGCTCCACAGCTTTGCTCTATTCATGCTCCCATGTGATCCATTAGAGTAGATTTGGAACATAGCCATGGTTAATAGTACATAAGAACACATACAGATCTCCCCCTCCCCCCTTTATTGATAGCAACTCACCGGAACAGCTAGACGATCCTGAACTATGTGACCAATATTTGCAAAATAATCTAAGGGCATCTACGCGCGATACACATTCAGAACTTTAGTGTGGCGTCGATTCTTGATCGGTACCCAAGCGTGCGAAGGCACAAATATGCAGCACTCGGCGTGCCAAGGAAGCTTTGATCATACCGCGAGACTGGCGACACTTTCTTTCGACAAGTTGTACCTTTGGATACGTACGACTTCATGCACATTGCACCCGCAAAACACGTACACACAGCATAGATTCTTGGTCGGTATCCAAGCGTGCAAAGGCACAGAGACACGGCACTTCGGCGTGCCAAGGAAGCTTTGAACACGCCGCCAGACCGGCGAAACTTGCTTTCGAAGAGTTGTGCCTTTTTCCTGCGACACTGCGCTTTCGTAAAATGTTTCACGTGTTCACAACGGCAAGTCTTAACGGTACAAAGTCTTAAAAAACTTCTTCGGCGAATGACAACGAACGAGTAGAAAACGTGCTTACAGCATGCTGGAAAACCGCAGCAAAACTGCAGACCGTACCTGGCAAGGTTGCGTCCGGTGGCTTCACTTGCGGGAGCGGGAAGCGCGATCCAGCGACTGTCATTGAGATCAGTGGAAGGGCGCATATTGTTAGAGCGTATGAATGTGTAGGCATTGCAGTTAGAAATTGGGGGGGGGGGGGGGACAATTGTGTACGCGCAGGCGAAACAGTCCTAGCAACGGCGCTCACGCCGGTTTGGCTGGCTCGTGAGGTAGACGCTGCTGCCATACACATAGGCAGCGGTTACAAGAAGATTCTGAGGCATCAGTGGCAGTGCAAATCGAGCAAGCAGTCTAAAAAATAGAGTATGTCAATCATTTGTTCCTTGCTGGAGCAAGCTTCCAAAGCCTTCATTTGGCACCGCGAAACTGCTTGGAGTCAGTTGGGAACAAATTCTACAGTCCAAAGAGAACCCGCGCCTTCCTCTGACGTCACTTTTTCGTTTTTGCTAGTAGAGACTTTTAGTTAGAAAAACATGGTGAGGACCAAAATTAGAAATTCAATAAATTTGCGAAAAAAAAGTATTTTGACGTAATTTGGGGTACTATTATAGTGATGTTTGTTGGTGAGTGGAGCAAAATTTCAAGAAAATCGGGGACCATGAAGAAATCGCCGGAGTGCTCCCGGGTGATTCACGTGCTGTCCGAACCCGAAATTTAAGTTCCCGCTCGTTGCCGAGCAGCCTATCCGGCGTCAGCATCTTGCTAGGGATTTATCGTCTGCGCCATAAAAAATATGCCGGCGGGGCAACCTACGCCCTAAACAAGACGCATCGCTTTGCTTCACGGTCCATGTGGAAAATCTAACCAGCAGAGTTCTTATTTCTTGTAGTTTCATAGTAGCCTTAGACCTATAGCGGAAGCCTCTAAACATGTAAAATGCCCTAATTTTCCTCAATTCAGTACAACAAAATTGATTAAATGGCATCAAGCGATTCAATGAAACGGGCATTGAATGAAATGTCCAGTTCCTACAAGTTGCACGTGCCCGCTTGTATTGCCTGCCCCGGGTGCCAGCCGCAGCGTGTGCGGGTCCTAGCGTGTTCACTATTCAGTCTCTGGCTGCGTCTCGTGAGTGACAACGAGCTCTTTTTTCAAAACGTGATGCGAAAACATTTTATGCATTTCGGGTCAAGTACAGACTTCTTGTATCTTGCTGAAAGTTGAGGGCGACTAATCCGCGAGATGTGAGCATTTTTTTTTTTTTAATTTGTTTAACAAATTTCTTTACCTGGAAATTAAAAACATCTGGAAGTGCTTGCAGTGGTCACTGCCGGGCCCTCAAATTTGCAAAAACTGACTAAAGTAGATTCTACTCTTCCATTAGAATGTATATTGATTCCACACTTCTTTTTTATAGCTACCACGTCGTGCACTTCTTAGATGAAGGGAGCACATACGTTGTCGCTGACTGGTGGCTGGTGAAGGACAAGGAGAAGGGAAAAGTGATTTCCTCCTACTTCCCACCTTCTAAGAACAAGCAGCAGGTCCGGAATGCAATTTTAAATAAAGAAAAAATTACAAAGGCTTGGTCAAATCACCCTGTGAGGATTCTTCAGTCCTACAGTAAGTTGGCAATTTTTTTTTTATTTCGGCGTATACTTGAGATTATTTTTTCTCTTGCAGCCAATCTGCAGCACGCCTTTGACAATGTGCATCCAGCTGCCTATACATCCCATTTGGACTCGGACGGACCGGTTCCGGTAGCCCCAAGACGGGAAAGGGCAAGGGTGCCTGCTAGCCCTGTGGACAGTGACTCGGATGATGCATCGAGAGGAGGGGCTTGTCGCGGTAAAAGACTATGCATTATAAATTTGTATTCAATGTGAATAAGAACTTGCATAAATAACTTCCGCTTGTTAAGCAATTGTAATATTGCTAAATAGTTATAGTCGGTGACAGATCAGGAACAAAGGGCAAGGATAACGAAGGCTGGAAAGTAGTAAGAAGACTGAAGGTAGAAGAGGTTTCCCTCCTCTCACCTTCAACATTCCGTCTGTTTTTTTTCCTTTCGCCCCTTCATTTTCTAGCTCTTTGATCTTGATTAATCACTGAGTATAGGCTAGTCTGGTTAGTGCAAGCTGATTGTAAAATTAAATACTTAAGACTGAAAGAATAAAAGCATGAAAGATGTATACAGACAGCCAAGAGCTTTCAGTTAGCAAAAACATTTAATTCTGGGTGGAAAAATTTGTGCAGTACCCGAAGTAACCAACAGCGGTTGAGCCTTGAGCGAGCCTCCCCTCGGAGCAAAATGGAACTGTCCAAATTGTGCGTGGTGCCCCTCTCAGCCCCTGCATCGGCTGTACGCTCTGATTGGGTCTTTCATGTTGCTAGAGATTGTACCACATCAGTTAGGATTGCTTGTCCCTTAAACCTTGCAAGCCATTCTAAGTACACTAGCTCGCCAACCAAGCTTCCAGACATGTATGTCCCCAGCACAGGCTATCATGCACTCAGGGAAGCTCTCTCAGCCAAAAAACGGAACAGGTGTTGACCTCGGGGTCCCCTAGAGATGCCAGTAGTCTACAATGCCATTTGATGTTCTTTGATTTCTAACTTTGTTGGACTCATCTTTCATACTTTTAAATATTATATGCATAATATATTTTCACTTACATGGTGCGATTGATTAAAAAACAAATTTAAAAAACTTTTTTCAGACAAACAATCCATCTGACTTGTACGGTAGTTTTGTTTTATAGTGCTTCCTTCCACACAACTTTATGGCCCAACTGAAAAACACCACATCCGCTACTTGCAACGAGTCTGCAGTGTCACACGGCTGCATGCTCTGGCCCAAAGAGTGCTGCAGGTATACACTTCAGCTTTTTGTTTACCATTTTAAATAGCCCGGGAAATGGCACTCTGAAGCAAGAAATAAAAAAATGCCTCAGTTGTTGACCATACTTCTGATGCAAGAAAATTTGGGAACATGGTACTTAGATATGCTCTAGCTTTTGGTTAAAGGCCAACCAACAAGCAGAAAAGAAAAAAACTCTTCCTCAATTCCTCCGTTCCATTTGAGAAAGAGGGAGACTCTCCTCTACCGGGAGTAGCTCAGACATCCGCACCTGTGTGGAGAGGAGGGGAAAAGTGGGCGAGTGGGAATGGAGAGAAGGAAACTGGGAACCGGTGTTTTTCCTGGGAGAAGACGATTCTGTAGGTGGGACTTTAAGCATGGTGGCATATTTTTGTCATCAGAGTTTTGCGTTCTTGGGTGTGATATTACAAAAGCAGTCTTCGTGAATTGAGTGTCGGTCCTCTATTCCTTTTAATAGATTGCCGGACAACTCTCAAAAATGGGGGTGTAAGTTCAGGAGTCTTGGTTGCAGGGAGCCATTGCAAAGGCACGCATAGAAAGCCCTACTTAAATACGTCTAGATTTTTTAGCATTGTTTTGTGTATCTGCAAAACAGTTTCACTGTTCATGATTCAGTCAAAGCATCTCACTAATTTTTTTTGTTTCAATGTCTTTTACTTCAGGTCCAGTCCTGCCAGTTTATCCTGTATCAGGTTAGTTCGGGCTCATTATGAAATATCTTAAACTAATGTAGCTGGTCATACTTTCAGAACACATTCACTTTTGCTCTTGGTTTTATCTCCTGTGCACTCCTGCTTACTTGAGGCACTCTTTTTTTTTTCAGCTCCCTTTAGGGCTGAAGAGAGCCGTATTTACCACAACATGAATGCTGGGAACTTCTCCGAAAGGGGTGAGTACATTTACAATGTCTTGGTTTGTTAAACAGCACAAAAACACAGGACGAGGATTGGCTGAAGTCTGATGTCGTCGCTTACTTTTCAATAATTTCTCCAACTGTATGCACCACCAAAACTAATTGTGTAATTTCACGGCGTCCACACATGGCAGTCGCTGCGGAATGTCGCCCATGGCATTCAGCAGAGACTCGGCAGAAAGTTCAGCAGGGTCACAGGGTCATATCTTTTAATTCATGCATATTTGATCAACTTTTTATCAATCTATACTTTGTCAACATTCATTACACAACTTTCACTGTTGCAACGCTTCATTGAGACCGTGACAGCAAGCTATGATTCCAAGCAGGCCGCACTTTGCAGTCGCCCCCCTCGCTTTGCAAGGGGAAAAGTAATCTTTTTTGGGCTCGATCTTGGCGCGAGCCTCTTTAGAAAGTTATGCCATCAATCAAGAAGGCAGAAATCGGGCACTGGTGGCCGACCATCTGCAGCTCCACTGGATGAGTCTAGCGACATTCATGTTGCCAAAAATCAATTTCAAGGCTGTCATGAGAAGGAAGGTTTCTATGAAATGTAAGATGTTTCTGTAAGAAACACGCCTTCGTCGACGAAGCATTTTGTTGGTGAAACAGTTTTCGATGAACTGATTGCTACCAGGGGGGTCTAGACAACACCTTGTAAAATATCGAGGCCTGCATGCTTCAATTTTGTTGTTGCATAGGTAGGCCAGTTGAGTGCACAAATTGAACATGAGTACTGCATCTGCGTTCGACAGGGTTCTTGGTAGAGATGTCACTAACCTCTTAATGTTTGAGTTCAAAAGAGCTGTGAAGTGTGCAACTTTCAAACTTTGCCAATGTTCGAATTTACTAAGTTTGAAGCTTTCGAGGTTTATAAAAGTTAGCTCAACAGTTTCTTTTTTTTTTTCGCAGTTTGTTTTAAAAACATTTGAGAATTTGAAATTTTTTGGTTCGAATTAGTCAAAGATTTAGAATTTTGTTCGAAGTATAAGTTTGTGAAGTTAGAAGTCTTCAAATTGCACAAGGGTCGTAGTTTCATAGTTTCAAGTAATTTTTGTTAATTTTCTGATGTGTGTGCTCTGTTTAGTAGAGTTCAAACAAAGCTAACAAAGAACAAAGAGATGTCGGGCTCAGCCGTTGTCACCACCAGATAGCTCGCTGCGCTTGCTGGGCAGGTCGGCGATCGGCCGCATAGCTTGCCTCTTGGAGCTTCGAATCAGTCTTCTTCGACAGCGATTGTTATCTGCACAGTTTGAGTGGGATCGCATGTTATTTGCAGCAGTTGCTATGTGTTCCAAACAGTTAGGTACTGTTTGAATCCTGTTTTGTTTCTTTGTTTGACGAATCCGTGGAAAAACTACTAAAGTTGTCGGTTTTTTCAATATGATAGGTTAGGAAATTTTTATATGTTTCAGTGTCATAAGTTGGAAAGGTTGAATATATTTTAATTCTTCAAGCCTTAGATTCAGAAAATGTTTGCTTCATCTCTAGTTGTTGGTGTGATCAGTGAGAACATGGGCCCCAGCCCAGTGCTGATGCAGCACTCGTGGTCTATGTGCTTTGTGCTGGTCTATTTGTCGACAAATTTAAAGCAGGTCAAAATGTCAAACGCTTTAGGTGGGGGAAATGAGAGAGGAGGTGCCTGCAAAACTAGATTTTCTGAGGGGCTTTAGACCTGGCAACTGCTTAATAACCAGTTTTCTGCATCTAATGCCCGTGCCACACGGGCAACTCAAATGCTATTTACAACGAATGATATTTGAGCGGACGGCCAATCAGCGCACGACAGTCCGGGCGTGGCGCATTCCACGCACGACAGATTGCGAGCTGATTCGCCGATCACACAAATGTCATTCGTTGTAAATTGCATTCGAGTTGCCCGTGTGGCACGGGTATTATTCCCACAAGTGAGGAGCTAAGCCTAATTGGTGTGTGGTAGAGTAGGACCAGATTGATACATTCCCGGGTATGTTTTTCCCGATCATACATTTCTTTTACCGCAGTCCCATGAAAAATGTATTACCGGTGTTCTGCTGTACTCTGACCTTTAGACAGTCGCAAGCAGGGCAACTGGCCACCACCATTTTGTTTGCTTGTGCGAGCAAGCACATGCAATCGCAAACCTGCCAAAGCCACTTTCATGTGCATGCTGCTCATGCTGGTGCCATCTGCACGTGCATGGGGCACCGGTGTGTGATGCGATGCCATCATGTTCTTGTGTACATGCTTTTTGGTAGAGGGAAATTACATTATTTTCAAATGCTTTCTAGCACACCATGATTCTGGGATATTTTCCACTTGTCCTTGGCTTATAATGAAGAGCTACCAAATTTTACCCACATGATAAGAGAACTTTTTTAATCATTTTAAAGCTACCAAAGGCACGTGAACAACATCCTTCCCTTCTGCCAAATAAGTTTGCATGTGTAAAAATGGTGGCAAGTCTGTGGGCCCCACTTTAGAAATGCAATTGCTTGATAACTAGTTTTTTTACATCTTGCAAACTAAGTTGAGAAATCAAAATAGCATTTTTTTCTGTTCTGGAATGTGCTACACTGACGCGCAACTCCTGGTGATCACTTGCAGCAGCTTGGAACAACCCAGAACAGCTAGGGACAGAGCTTTCATTTCAGAATGGCGTCATGCCTCCCTGTCACAGGCTCGTCCGGGGTTGGCAAGAAAAGGGTCGGGAGACAGAGAGTTAGAAAACAAAAACAGGGCATATATTTGCACACACAAAAGAAATATTAGTATGGAAGGAAAAAAATGTAATAAGACTACAAGTCACAAGAAAGAAATAAGCAGTTCGAACTACGGGGCTATCGTCCTAGAGATTCACCGGCATATGTCGTGAAGAGGCTCGGTTCCTGGCTTCTGTAGCCGCTCAGTCCAGAGACGGCGTTGAGGTGGCGTAGATGCTCATGCTTCCGCTGTTCCCTTCACACCGTGCGTAGCGGCGGGTTCTGGTTCAGGTCGTCGATACCGGGACACAGCCGGTCAGATCCTTGAAGCAGCTGCCGAACGTCGCGGCTCGTGCTCTTCACCCACCTTTTTCGCACCCGTCACTTCGTCCTTCACGTTCTTCCTTACACAGAACCATGACACCCCCCAACTTCAAGAAGTTTATAACATAAACTTTTCTTTCTTGATGCCTGGTACTTCCGAGAACTCCATCTTGACGTCACCGAGCACAAGCCACCCCCACAATCCTCCTACACGACACTTTCACGACACGACCTTCTCGATGACCTTGAATTGGTGAAGCCCACTCGTCGGAGAGAAGGCAGTCTTTTCCTTGGCCTCTTCTTTCATAGGTATCTGCCAGTACCCTTTTGCTACATCAAGCTTTGAGAAGAAGCGCTTCTGTCCCGCTTTAGCAAACGTGACGTCGATCCGTGGTATTGGTTCCGCATCGGGCTTGGTCACGTCATTGAGCCTCCTGTAGTCAATGCAAAACCTGTTTGACCCGTCTTTTTTCTTTACCATTACCACTGGCACGTTGTATGATGAGTTACATCTCTCAATCACGTCCAGCTCTAACATCTCGTCGATTTCTTGCTCGACTGTTCCCTGAACCGACAGCGGCAGTGGGTACTGCTTCACATGTATTGGTCGGGACGTAGTCAGTTGAAGGTCACAGGTCAGCAGACTCATCCTGCCTGGAAGCTTCGAAAATATATCTTTGAAGTCCTCAATCAGCTCTCGTACCTCATCACGCTTTTGGGATTCCAAGTGTTCGTTTATGTTGACGTCTTCCCATCCTTGCTGCCTCGTCCAGCTTGGCGTAGGAATTCCCTCTGTATCTTCAAAACTTAGCTCGCTTGCGGCTTCATCTTTCTCTTGAGAATCCATTACCATACCGCAATGTTGTCTACCTTGTTGACTTCCTTCTCTTTCTTGATATCTTTTAAGCATATTGATGTGATACACCTTTTTCTTGCCTCCTACGTCTAACTCGTAATCCACATCATTCTTTCTTGCGACTACGGGGAAGGGACCTTTCCATTGCATGACCATCTTGTTCAGATCGGTGGGGAGCAGAATGAGCGCCAGGTCTCCTTGCTTCATATTTCGGTTGCAGCCCTTCCTGTCATAGTATTTCTTATACTTCTCCCTTGCTTCATGTAGGCACACGTGCGCCAGCTTGCATGTTTCGTCTAGTTTTTCCCTTAGTTCCAAGATGTATCCATATGCCGTCTTCATATCTTCCTTCAGGGCTTCGTTCGACCACAACTCCTTGAGGATGTCCAGTGGTCCTCGTACTCTTCTCCGCGGCCGTTTTCCGAATTTGCGGCACCTTCACCTCGCCCTTCACGAGCCGCAATCCTCAACTGCAGGACCTCTCGTTCCTTATCTAACTTAGCGCTTTCGGCCGCTAACATTCTTTGAGCCGCCTCACGGTCCTCCCTAGCGTTATCGCGCTCTTGAGCTCTCTCAGCTCTACTACGCGCTCTTTCCTCATCAACCCATTTTTTTAACTCGTCCCCAGTATACCCCAATTCCTTAGCTGCCGCGATTATTCTATCGAGCTCCATGGTAATGCACCAGTCTCAAATCTCCGTCTCCTCACTCACCTCCCGGAAAACGAACTAGGACGTAATGGGCCGCGCCATCCTGGCAGGCTCGCCAAATTGTCACAGGCTCGTCCGGGGCTTGCAAGAAAAGGGTCGGGAGACAGAGAGTTAGAAAACAAAAACAGGACATATATTTGCACACACAAAAGAAATATTAGTATGGAAGGAAAAAATGTAATAAGACTACAAGTCACAAGAAAGAAATAAGCAGTTCGAACTACGGGGCTATCGTCCTAGAGATTCACCGGCATATGTCGTGACGAGGCTCGGTTCCTGGCTTCTGTAGCCGCTCAGTCCAGGGACGGCGTTGAGGTGGCGTAGATGCTCATGCTTCCGCTGTTCCCTTCACACCGTGCGTAGCGGCGGGTTCTGGTTCAGGTCGTCGATACCGGGACACAGCCGGTCAGATCCTTAAAGCAGCTGCCGAACGTCGCGGCTCGTGCTCTTCACCCACCTTTTTCGCACCCGTCACTTCGTCCTTCACGTTCTTCCTTCCACAAAACCATGACACTCTCCAAGGATTGAGTAAGTGATAAAATTATATTAAAATGGTCTTGTCTAATTTTAGTTTATTTCTAGCCCGCCCACTTCATGACCCGGCTCAACTCATAGACATGATGAGGGTGCAGCAGGAGATGTTGAGGTCTGTACAGGAGATGTTGACATCCCAGGAAAAGAGCCATGTTGGTGAGAAATTATTTAGATCATCTTCAACCTCGTTGTGACCAAATGCAACCATTATCTTACACCCTTTGATATGTAGTGGTCTAGCTTATTCAAAGACATTGCTTTATGCTCCTGAACTATTTCTAGAGCCCAGTTAGCAACTGTGCTTCAGGCTGCAACACATAAATGTAAAACATCAACTAGAGATGTTGCATAACTCACTGGTATCAAGTCGAAAGGTATAGAAATTTCCCAACTTTCCTGAGGTTCACTTTGCAAAGTTTTCAAATTTAACTCTTCCAAGATTCGAATTTGATATTAATGTTTTCGGCATTTGAGTTCGACGGTTTGAGACTTTCTCGAGGTTGATGCTCGAAAAAGCAAAGAAATTCAAATTCCTTTGTTTGTGAAGTATGAAGTCTTTGAGCGTGACGAAGGACCAGGTAGCCCAGTTTGTTATAAGTTTTCATGAATTCGTCTTATCGTATACAATAGTAGTTTCGCTCATTTTGAAGCTGAGACATGACCTATGTTAGCAGAGTTCAAACATAGGGTGTAGTATACGCTAGCGAGGGTAGGGGCAAAGCTGGCAGAGCCATTGCTGCCTTCAACTTGATAGCTGGGGGGGGGGGGGGGGGGGGACAGGCATGCAAACGGGTCCTCAAAGCAGGGATGCTTGAGAGGCACATGCTCTCCGGGGGAAGCATGTTTAATGCCTTTGCCTTAAAGGGCCACTTTGCTCAAATCCAAAAATTTGGGGTTATGAGTGATTCCACTTCAAAACATACTAATAAACAGCCCCACATTCTCTGTTTTGATAGATCTGGCAAATTGTTTCAGTAATATTGCTTTCAATAAAGCAGATACCGGAACAGGAACTATGGCTGCGAAAGGCAGCATGGGTTTCGTCATGTCGGAGACATGGCAAACCATGCGGTATAATTGGTCGTCTGATCCTCAGGAGGATCACGTGAAGTTGCACATTTTTAGTGCCGATCGAAGCTGTGCTTGTGCACTCTTCTATTGCATGTGGACACTGTTGAGCGAAGTTCACGACATCATTTGTAGACCTCTCTCCAAGAAGTAAAATATACAAAACGCGGCAATGCTTGTGAGGTCGTGGCTCAATGGAGGCTACTCAAAGACCTTAGTATTTGCTGCGGTATTTATTGCACCTCATGTCGCCCGCTAGAGGTGGCGGATGTTAGCAAGTTGGCTCCTTTCAAAGTTTGCTGGTCCTTTTAAATATATATATAGGTGTAATTAAATCATAATATTTGGTGTTTGGTCTTCCTAGATGATACTGAATGCAAAACAAATTTTGCGTTTGGTGTGTAACCGGAATTTGCATCTATTTGGCTAGAGTGAAAAAGGTGGGCCAGCACAGCATAGTTTCTCTTTGCCGAGAAGTGGCACAATGGGGGATTGGCCACCATACAGTTTCTTAAGTCAATTTATAAAAATAACGATGATTGTGACCGTTTACCTAAGGCCTTCTGTTGGATAAAGAGAAAGACGGTGTTCAGTGAGATGGCCTAGTCATAAAGAATGCGAACGGCACCGAAAACTGCATGAGTAGGTACACTCGTCATAAACCAGAAAATGGCACATAACTTGTGACTTACAGGGCTTGCCGCAAACCATGATGGAAGTAAAACAACTGCTTAAGTTAAATAATTGATGAATTCTGTGTCTTAATATGTAATTTTTTTTTGCAAAATTTTTCCACTCCAAAGTAACTGCCTTGGTGGTTAATTTTCAGGATTGATTGCTAAGACCGAAAATACGGGACCCTATTCTAACTCTTCTTAGTCGCCTACTATAATAACATTGATGTTTAAACAACCTCCGACATGCCAAAAAAAATTTCATGCTAGGCGTTGAAACGGCATGTCAGGACATTACAAAAAAATTGCTTGTATAGAGTTGCGTAGGTTTTTTTTATAAAAGGATAAAAATATGAGGCCCAATTCAAAGTTCCCGCCAGTGCACTGTGACGTAATAGTGTACCGCAAGGTGTCGGGGCGGTCAGAAGGGAGGCATCGACCTACGTCACTAAAAGTGGGTTCGCAGGAAGTCGCGTGAGTTTCACCCCACGTGCTCTCCGCGACCGTACCGACGACTTTTTTTTTATTTTCTGCTCTTTATACGAGCGATTGTAGAAAAGAAAGTTTCAGTTCCACTAGCTCTTTATCGCTACACCATTGGTTAGTTTGCATGCTGTAAAAAAGTGAAGACGAAGGGTCAGTGGATCGACGTGATGGAGGTCAATGATGAAAGCGTTGCGAGTACAAGCCAGTGTATGAGTGCGTGCTGCCAGTCCGATGATACAGAGCTCTATGGGCACAAAACAAGCTATCAAGTGTTGAAAAAAAAATTTTTAGAACGCTCGCAGAAATTAGGATTGCTAGTGTATGACACGCCCCATTGCATTGCTGAAGGTTCCGACACCGAGGTCGTCGAATCATTGCATACTCTCCAGGCTGAAGATGGCTGCCGTCTCTCGGAAATGCATGCAGTGTGATATCTTCTTCAGTTGCTGAAATGCCGGGACAGTCCCTCACACTGCACCTTCTAGGCATTGTAGTTGATCATGTCAATTCACTGACTCCTCTTCTTCTACATTTACAGCAACATTAAGCGATGAAACGCAAATATAAGAAACCTTGTCTGCTTGGATCGCTCGTGGAGGTGTGGCGAATAACAAAAAATATTTTAAAAATATTACACGCGCTCGCGGTAAGCACGAGGAGGGATACAACTAGCGTGACTTCCGGCGATGCCTCCCTTCTGACTGCCCCGACACCTTGCGGTACACTGTTACGTCACGGTGCACTGGCGGGAACTTTGAATGGGGCCTCGTATTTCTATTTTTTATTTAAAAAAAAATCTACGCACCTCTAAAGTGAAACAATTTTTTTGTAATGTCCTCACATGCCATTTCAACGCCCAGCATGAAAAAAAATTATTTTTTTTTTGGCGTGTCAGAGGTTTTTTAGAGAAAGTCTGCTTTGATACACTCTTAGTATCTTGTAAGGGACAGTTTTCTTGAGGACATCATACGGTCTTTTGGCAGATTCTACATTGATGTGTTCTTGGTAGAAAATTTACTCATATTCCCTTGGATGCCTACTGAACCAAAGTATTAATAGACTTGCCGAACTGCGTTTTCTGCTGCTTTCCGGGATTGCATCTTGCACAATCAAGCGGACCTGCTGGCGCAGGTGAACAGTTTAAATCAACAGCTGGGCAACAAGAGCCTCGTGAAAATGGTTTATTTGCCCAACGACTGCCCTTCCCTTCCCGTCAACAGCCTGGATGACCTGAGGGCCTTGAACCTGTACCTTGAAGCAAGAGACAAGCTTCAGCACATGGTATTGTTGTTGAATAATTTTTACACATACGGAATTTTCTGTGCGTGTTTTCAAGAGAGAACGATACACTGGTTAGTCATAAAGCAGGGCTTTGAGTAAACTTTTTGCCCAGTTTATTATGTTTATAAATTTGAAGGTATTCAGCACAGTAGGCACTCCAGCAATTTTACATTTCTGCGTGAAATGATTATGATGTTTCTTGCTTTTTTTACATGTTTTTTTAAGGTTAACTTCACAAGCTCCATCACTGAAACTTGTTGTTTGATTTCTTACCTTTCAACGGTCACCGGCAATCAAACTTTATCTCCCATTAACTTTATTTTGTCAGGTTCAGAGCAGTTCACTCTGCATTTACTCCTGCCATTATTTTTGAAGCGTATCATGGGACAGTGCATCACGGCTCACTTTTACCATCGTGGTTTCTCTGTTGGTCACATGTTATGAGCCGCTGCTGTTTACCTGAATTGATCACACTTTACTACGATGGTGGTGTTTAACTCCTGTCTACGAGGTGGTGTCTGACTTCTGTCTACGGAGCGTTAGAAGTGAAGTACTTTCTGCATGAGAACACTGGGGAAGCGGTTCTGAAAAATGGGAGCAGCGAATACCACGGAACGGGATATGTGTAGTCTCGAGAATGCTCAACAGAATCATCTCTGAATGTGTCGATAACAATGCGGCTGTCACCATCTTTTTCGCATCTCTATCTCTCTTGCTTGCATTTATTTCAAGAAATTTTGGTTTTGTTTTCATAGTTCATTTTAAACGGGGAGAAAAGCGGTCATGTATTACAATCTCGGTTCCCTGTCAAGGTATGAAATGTGCGCCAGGTTAAAGAAATGTTTATTCTAGTTCATGTCTCTTTTTGTGTTTGCCATCTCAAGCTATCCTTTTTTTATGCTTCACCCTGTAAAAGACTTGCCTATTAGAATTAGAGGTCATGATTCTTTCACTTAGTAAATACAAAAATATTATGGAGATTTTTTATTCCAAAATCAGTCATATTAGCCACTGTTATAGATAGGGTTCTGTATTTTCTGTGTTTTTTTTCCTCGAAATTGGGGGTATATTTTTGCTGCGTTTAATTCTTAGCTACAGTTTCAGTGTTTTTTGTGTAAATTGTGTAGCCAATTTACACAAAAAACACTGAAGCTGTAGGAAAAAAATTAACTTGTAAAAAAAATACACCCAAATTCGTAAAAAACAAAACAAAACAAAACAAAAAAAAACACCGAAAACACTGAACCCTAGTTGTAGAAGGGGATGTCGTGAACTTGCCCAGGTTCGAGTTCGACCAAGTACGAATTTTTCAAACTTTCCACTTAATGTCCGACAAAAGTTTGAAGTTCAACTTTTGTGCGCATGCGCAGAAATTAAAAAAAAACACAGTGGACTCCACCTGGTGGAGGAGAAGTGCAGTATTTGTTGCGTGTATTGGCATCACTGGTTCACATAACTAACGAAAGCGTTAAAAGCACATATTTTCGCTTTTATATGGTGTAAACATTGGCAACCATTTTATAAAATATAAAACAAGCTACTTTCTAAATTATTTGTTTCCCAAAATTCGAAATATTCGTGTAGAAGTGAGGCAACACTGTCCAGAAGTCAAACTTCTTCGAACTCTAGTGAAAGTTCGCAGATCCGACAAAAGGTTCCGGCACCCCTAGTTATAGATAGAATTCCGTGTTTTCGGAGTTTATTTTTTACTTGAATTTAGGGGCATCTTTTTTTCGGGGTTTAATTTTTCTCTCAGATTCAACGTTTCTGTGTAAATTTATATAAGTCAAAATCAATGTACACAAAAAACACTGAATCTGTAGGAAAAAAAGTAATTCATAAAAATAATACCCCCAAATTAAAAAAGGGAAAAGGGAAGGGAAAGGGAAAAAGGGAAGGGAGATCGTCTTAAGCATCATTTTCAAGGTTCTAGAAGTCGTCAGAGACCTTGTTCTCTAGACATCGTCCTGTAGGCATCGTCCTAGACGTCGTAAAGGCAACAGCTTGGCTGGTCCTCCATCTTCACGTAAAGTGGAAGGGCTCTGGAATTTTTTCTATTGCTCACATAAGGTTAAATATATGGTGCCATAACATATCCACAATTTTCTACCTAGTATATGTGGGGGGGGGGAGCCTACTGTTAATGCTTCACTTGTCTTTTTTGGACATTCCCAGGTGGACTACTACAGCCAGAAGGGAGGCACCGACAAAAATGCCGACACGCGCGCCTTGCTGACCTGCCTTGTCCACAACGATGTGGCTGGACGTTGCAGTTGGAAAGGGTCAAAAGGGCGGAAGGAGCCCTTCGATGAACTGAAAAATATAATGACCTTGTTGCTCGGTAGGTTCCACTATTGGTTATTTATTGTCCAAATGACAGCTTCAGAAAACATCTACAGTCGAATCTCGTTAATTCAACCTATCTTAATTTAAACTTGTGAATAATTCAAACTAACATGCAGGTCCCATCCTATGCATCTATATGGGTGGAAGCTCCTGGTAGTTCAGTGAATAGATTGCAATATCTCCAATCTTCTTGAAAATGGTCAAATAGAGTGATGATGTTCAGTTAATTTCATAAATATTCCTTGACTCTTAGCTTGGGGGGGGGTGGGATTATTTATGCCCATAAATCTTAAAGGGACGACGATTTTAAACTTTTCTAGAAAGTGTGTTTCGGATGCCTTGACATCGTGGCATGCTGTTAAGTTTGGTATAAAATTTTGTAACTGATTTTTGTGCCTGCGAATAAATTGACTATACCGAAACTAACCGTCCGAGTGATGTCATGTGAGAGTAGTTGTGCTCACATGTCACATTCCTACATCAAACAAAGCAAGGAGCTAGGAGCTCGCACAAAACTTGTGAGTTCCGCACACCTGGGCCAGTGCTGGCTTCGCTCCCGGTATGATTTTTCTCTAAACTCAATGCATCGCTGCCACAATGCATTGAGGGAACATTAGTCTTTCTGCTTGTTCGACAACGTTGCTAGAGCTCTGCGCATGTAGAGCACCAGACAACACAATCCCTCTCGTGCACTACCGTCTACCTCCTGTGAACTAAAGTTATGGCTGTGTCACAGGAGTTTATTAAGATCGGTCTATTCATTTGTGCGACAAGCAGGTGTCGGTTCAGGATAAAACTTTGTCAACATTGCATGGGTCATGCTTGAGGCTTGTTTCAATCGTCAAATGGGGTTTCCAAATCGTCTTCATTGTCCAGTCTTGTTAGCGTTTCTTTAACGTTTGTACATTTTTAAAATCATCTACTAGTTTGTTCTTTACTTTTGTTGCAGAGCTAGTGTTCTTGCACGTCTGCAACTAGAATTAATTGAATATCTTGTTCTGTGATTTCTTTATAAAAAGCTCTGCAGATAATTTTATTTTACCAAAAAAGAAAAAAATTCTGTGTTAAGAGTTTTGATGAAAGATTTCAATTCTAGTTCCGGAGACGTACGAGCACTATATATCTCACTGCCTACAAAAGTTGAGAGCTCTGCAACCAGTAAATGTTTTTAAAAGGGTACGAATGAAAAGTTAACAAAAAGAAATATCAATGCACAACGGAAAAAAGTTTTAGTTAATTAACTTTTTTTGTGAAACCAAGATGTATCCTAATAATGTTTTAACACTGGGCTTGTTGGTAGGTGTTATATATAATTAAATAAAACCGCAAAAGAAGATATAAAAGAGACACAGGATAGAACAGGTCTATCTGGTGCTTCTCTTTTTATATCTTTTACGCTGTTTTATTTCATTATGTACAGTCGAACCCGATCATGTCGAACTCACACAAATCCGTCTACGAGTTTGATATAGCGGGTAATTCTATATAAAAGTTTTAATATACCTGACAAGGAACAAGCACGCACCATTTAGGAAAGTAGGTTACTCTCGAAGGAGCATCTGTACGTTATGAGGGGTTGAGTGTACATAATGACACGCACCCTCCGCAAAAGAGATTTTTTTCCTTCCAGGGGGTCGACGCAGCCGCCCAAAAGAAAAAAAAAAAAAGCCAGCTTTCTCTGCAAGGTGGCTTTCCCCCAACAAGCCCACAGGGATTGGGGGGAAGCCAGCTTGCAGAGCAAAACGGTGCTCTTGGCAGTTCAATCTATCGGGAGACTGCAATTTTCATTCGATATAACTGCATTTTTCAATATGCATTTTTATTGCAGCTACTAGTCTGTTCACAAATTGTTCGATACAAGGGATAGTTTGAATTAGCCGGGATCGATATAATCGTGTTTGACTATATGACCAAAATATATCCACTTCAGTCAAATGCTAGATCTTCTGAATGGAAAATCTAATTTTAGAAGATATCTTGATCCCTTGCACTCTTCACTGATATAGGTTATGAATGAAACCTCCAAAGTGGCAATTATTGATCCATCAACTGTTTCTTGAAGATGATAAAAATGTCTCTGCACCTCTAATCACTGCATTTGTATGTTGTTTTCTGGCAAAAAAAAATTGGGGTTGCTGACCCCATTTTGAGCAAATGTTTAGATTTCTAGTGTACCACTATGAACGGTCACATGAATATTACACATATTGTCACCTTTTGACCTTTTTACTTGCAAAGTACATCCAACAAAGTGAAGCAACTTAGCCTGTTTTGGTATCACATGGTTATGCATGATATTGTCTATCACTAAAGTATGTATGAACGGAGTGCTTTTTTTTCCCCTTTTTTTCTCAGCTGCTGGCAAGGCGAAGTATGCAGACTTAACCGAGGCGACAATTCAAGACGTGACGAAGAGGTGGCTCTGGTCGTTAGTCGACCGGGATGGTGGGCGGAGCAAGAGGCGCCATGTGGAAAGTGAAAATGTTCAATAAACGTCGTACCAGAAAATTCTCAGCTTATTTGTGTTAACAAGAAAAACCAACTGCCAATTAGTGCATCTTTACATCTGGTTTCAAGTGGTTGACCAGAACTGATATACTTCCAGCTTCCGAAAAATGTGCAGGCAAAATGTCGGGCACAGGCTCATGTTCTGCAGTGCGTCCACAAATTCATTGGAAGATTAATACCTAACTGCAAGTTGCTTGCCAATGTGTGGCCTCGGCTGTAGGGCCGGCACCCAATCACAAAGGTACGGCCTCGGCCTAGTAACGAGGGATCGGCCTGTGTCTAGCTGCATGTCATCAGCCAGTGCCCGGTCAAATGTCTTCGGCTAGCACCTGACCTCAGATGTACGGCTGATGCCCAGTTCCTAACCTCCGGCCTGCCTCCTATCACAGGGGACCAGCCGATGCCCTGTTGCTAAACTTCGGCCTCCTTTCGGCCACACGGCATTGGCCAGTACCCATATGCTGAACTTCGGCCCGTGTCCTAACCGAAGTCTTCGGCTGGCCTCCATTTGCTAACCTCCGGCCAGCATTCAATCGCAGGTCATCAGCCAATGCCCTGTTGCTCAAATTCGGCTTGCTTTCGGCCAGACGGCATTGGCCAATGCCCAGATGCGAAACTTTGGCCTGCGTCCAGACCAACGTCTTTGGCCAGTCTTTATTTGCTAACCTTCGGCTAGTGTCCTGCTACAGGTCATCGGCCAGCCTCCAACAGCCAGTCCCCACAAGTCTTCGGCCAAGGCCCACAACCATGTTCGGGCATAGTGGTTTGACCAGCCTTAGGCCGGAGGAAATCTGACCGGCCAAAATGCTTCAACCATTGCCCGGCCGTTCTTTTTGTGCTGCCTAGGATGTCTTGTTTCTTCAAGGGATTCCCCTTTTCGTTTTTAAACACCATTACTCCAGACTTATCACTACTAATACCCATGCCAAACGTGTTCCCTTTCTCTCCACATACTCCAGCTGGTTCCTTTAATGTATCCTGGTCATCTGCCATAAGCAACATGTCGCCCGCATATATCTATCTTGGTATACCCTTTATTATTTTTTTCCCTTCTTCTATATAACTCGCATCAAAATTTAACTTGCTCTGTTCTATTTTATTTTTATTTTGACCGAAATATATTATGAAGAGTAGAGGTGTTGGAGGACAGCCCTCCCGGAGCCTCTTTTTATTGCTGCGGGTCTTGTAGTTTGCGCTTCCCATGTTATCACTACCATATTGTCTGTGTACACCTGCTGAACAAACCGAACCGAATTTTCGTCTAAAATATACTGCTTCAGCTGACCCCAGACTATTTTCCTGGCTGACATTTTCGTACGCTTCCTTAATGTCCGAATACGCTAATTATAATAGAGTTCGGTTGTTCATTGCTTTTTCTATACATTGTGTGGGGAAGAAAAAGTTATGTTTTAGTATTTTACAGACCTAAAAAGTCAATATATTGTTTTTTTTCGGGTAAAAAAAAGTTTTAGGTGTTTCTAAAATGCATATTGGCACAGTCATTACTAAATAATGTTTTAATCTAGAAGATATTTGTTTCGGTGTCATTTCTGCGTGTTTAGCGGCAATTTTACAGTGACTTTTTGCAGACGTGCTGCGACAACGCGGTTGGGTAGTTGTCGGCGCAACCACAATACGCGCGTTTCAGTTCTGAGGCTTTGTCAGCGCAAGCCTGCAAGTGTGTACATACGTTTTTAAAATGAATGCGGTAATAATGTATTCTTGCTTGATTCGAGTTGCCGTTTCGTGCGCGAAAATAAATGCAACTGCTGCTGAGCCTTCACCAGAAGAGATAACAATATTATTGTAAGTATATGCATGTTTTTCGATTTGAGTCACTTGACGGCAGATTTGCATGACGTGTGTGGGGGTGGTTCACGATGGGCCCCAACCTCAACATTAAAGGAAGCCTAAAGACGAGGAAAGGCGAGGGGATCAGCGCCTGTCCGTGTCTGTGTTCTTCCGTTTCTCCTCGTCTTTAGCGCTACCTTTAATTTTCTAATGTATAAGTAGACCGTCACATGATCCTAGCCCAATGTCAAAAGCCCCGTGTCTAATAGCCCCGTGTCAGCAGCCCATGTCATTTGTGCGTCAATGCGTTTCGCTTCGTTGTTTTTGCCTTTTAAATGAGAGGCGCTTTTCTTCTTTTTTTACTCCTTTTTTGAACGCACATTGGGCTAAGGAAAGAGGCTCGCTTGTCAAACAAAACGCTGTCCCTTGCTCTTTTTGTTTTTGTGCTCGTTTTATGAACGAACACTAGGCTATGGGCAGCGGTTCGTTCGTACAAAGACTACTCGTACAATGACAATTCGCCGCCTGGGCAACCTATTTATTCACAAAGTCTGCTTACAACACGTGTTTCGTTACAGGGACACCTAAATTACACAAAAACGTTGCTTCTTCTGAAGAAAGCCATCCAGGTTGAGGGCACCGTCCCGCAGTCGTTCCTCCAGATCTTTGATGCTCTCGTCCTTGTCGTTCCATCTTTTGAGTCCCTTCCTCGCCTGGCCACCGTTCGACAGCTGAAGCAGGGACTCCCGACTGGTGGCCTCATCTGTCTTCAAGAGATCGACGAAGGCGTAGATGATTGTGTGTGCCCTACCGAGCATGTAATTTATTTTCATAATATAAAAAAAATGTTACTGGATATCCCCTTAAAGGCAGCGAGAGATACATATGCGTATAAATTATACCTCTTGCTGCTTACCAATGCCAGGCTTCTTACAGGTTGTTGCTGCGGGCTCCGCGTTTCTCGTGTTTGTTCCACTGTAAAATATCCAAATGACCCATATGTCAAGTGTCCCCAAAATAAAGATTTAAAGGAATACTTCAACGAATTTTGAAATAAATCCGTCGTGTTCAAAAATAGGTTGAATATGATCTACAATATCCGTAAATGACAGTCGCACGATTGTATTTTGAGCATGCTGGCTGTATTTTTTGTTATAAACGGCCCACTCTAGCAAGCGCTCGGAGAAGGCCCAGCTTAGAGCACGTGACATCCACGCAATCTTGACGTAGGTCGTTTCGGGACGAGCAAAGCTACGGCGAGGCTGACGTCGAGGGGATGGCCTAGTCGTTCCAGCCACCAAAGTGGCTGCTTTTGTACGAATTCTGAGTGACGGGTTAATCTTCTATAATATTGTAGAGGGGCAATGGCTACTTCTGGAACACAAAAAAGGGATTCTCGGGAAGACGGGAGTTCCTCCTTCCCCTCTTGTCTCGTCGTGACCGGAGGCGAGACACTCACCGTCACTAGCTGTCAAGGTTCCTAGATGGGCATTACAAACGAGGCGTTAGTGACATCCACCAGGTGCTCTTTGCTAATCGTTTAATTCGTTTTAAAATTCGTTTTCGTGACTTTTTCAACAATATATTGGTGTGTTCGATGTGACACTGCTCCTTTGAACACATATGGACCATCAAATAAGCGCCGAACTTTCGTTGTAGTATCCCTTTAAAGGCGGAATTTCAAGGTCCGAAAGGGCAGCTAGCTTCAGGTTGTTTCATGCAACCCGCACCAAATTCGGACGTACGGAAGCGAGGCTGATCATATTTCTGACGAAGCCAGCAACTCAGGTGTCCACGCGATACCCCCTTTGAGAGCCCTAACACCTCAACTTTCCGCCAATCGCGTTTATTTTCACCTGAGTACACAGCTCTGAAAGGAGCGCGTTGTAGTTTAAGACTTTATTCAGGCTGGGGTCATAAGTATATGCCGTGTCATCGCAACATATATTTACAGGTTGACACTTCAAAAGGTAAAAATTATCTTCCGTCCACCGTTTCCGTGTGTATGCCACCCAAGTCTACGTTCGCGGCACTTCCTGGTAGTGAAGGCTGGTTGTGTCTTTTCGCTCTGCAGATAGTGCTTCGTAAGCTCTCGAATGTTGGAAGCGTAGCTAAGACGTCCTCCAAGACCGAAAAGAAGAAATTTTTTTTTGGTATATTACAGTTAGCTGTAACCAATATTTAAAGGTGAATACTTAAGGCTGAATTCACTTTCCTGGCCTGTGTTGGTGGCACGATACTTTTGACAGCGCCAAACAGTGGTTCCATTCTTGTTATGGCGATGTAAAACATACTTGTAACCGTCTAGATAAAGCGCGTACTTGCCCTTCTGCATCCGAAGTACCTCCAGGGTAGGCGACGCTCTGAGACGCTTGATGACGAAACGTGCCCTTAAATAGGTAATTGGAAAAACAAAGCAGCACAATACAGCTCGCAAGTGAATCCCAGCGGTTGATCGGAGTGAGCAGTCATGCTCACGGGCTCGGTCATTAATTCATCGCCCATTTTGGCCGATGTAGACTCTTCTGCAACTTAGTGGGATCTTGTATACCACAACAACCAACAACGCAATCAACATACTTATTCCTGTGCTTTACGGCCCATTGGCTCTTGCAACAGCCTTTTCCGCAATTGTAGGGCAGAGTTGCGACAACTTTTGAGCTGCCGAAGACACAATGGGAACGTCAAACCGCCATCATCAGGGGGGCGGAGGGTGTGTGTTAGTGGGGGGGGGGGGGGGGGGGGCACAGACAAAACCACCAGAAAAGTATTGCACGCCTATGCAATAACCACACCCCCGGGGGCAAATAGCAAGGAGTACTCGAATGCGGGGATGCTGGCACGGGGGCAAATAAATGCGGGGAGTTTGGCACGGGGGGGCAAATAGAACGGGGTCAAGGAGTGCGGGGTTTTCGAAACGCATGAGGGCAATGTCACGGGGCTTTCGTGACGGGGGTTTTGTGCCCGGGACAAACGTGCTACACCCGTGCGCGGTCCCATGGTCGCGACGCCTCGTTTTTTACTTTTAAAACGCCAATTTCTGATGTTAGGGCGCACACGGTTGTTTAGAAAAATGAAAAGAGTTAGGAATGCCGGATATGCAACGTCGAGCACGATAGCTTTGTGTTTAGTTTTATGCGGATAAATAATAAAAAAAAAACGCGGAATAATCTTAATTAAAAAGCAATATTGCTAGCCGAAAACAGGATTTCTAGAATTAAGAGGAGTTTTCTTTTTATTTACTTGTCAGTCAATGTTGCAACTGCTTTGTTGCATCACTAGAAAAATCTAATAAAAATCACGCTATCA